GAGACAAAAGTACAGAGGTGGTTTCCAGGGAGCAGAATGCAGGGACTTGGTTAATGTGTGGATGAAAAGCTCTGTAGGTAATGGGCTCTGCACAGTGCTTGCATAGCAATGAAAAATGCTAAACACTGCCCAGGTGTACCCTCAAGAATCATCAATGCACTTTCCACTATGTACATTATACTACAATCACAAATTTTTAATGCAAAAGACAGAGACAGGAATCTAAATTTTTATGTGAAGTCTCTAAGTTTGTAAGTGGTGACAGTTGTCCCGAATCTATACTTAACTGCCCAGTGATGAACTGCCCCTCTTTGGTAGAAAAAACAAAGGCTGAACTGTATCTGGATGACCATTCCCTACCATGTGACTCAAGGCAGTTCTGATTGGTTCAGTTTCATGATAGACTAATGAGCATTTTTTGTTTGTTTTTGATACCAGGTCTCATTATACAGTCCTGGCTAGCCTCGAACTCACAGAGATCTGCCTATCTCTGCCTCCTGTTAAGATTAAAGATGTGTTACTACCATGCCTCATGAACCAATAAACTTTGAGGAAGTCTGCTGGAGGGTTTTAAGAAAGGGTTTCTTAGCATGTGCTTGGGCCCTTTCTCATTATTGTTTTCTCTCTGGACAAGAAGAATGGCACTGGTACAACCACTCTCTGAAGCCCTAGGGGAGACCAGAAAGATAGTATGAGGCCTAGTTAATAACTAATCTCGGGGCCTTACATGTGTTTATAGTTTAAAAGATCATAAGTGGTACCCATAACAGGCCGAATCGAAGATGTCTGGGGTCCCGATCCAGAGGCAGGTGGCTTTCTACCCTTGACACATCCCTGGTCACTTGCATTGCTCATCATTTGCTAGGGGCAATCTCCCTGCATCACCCAGAACAACTAAGTACCCTTCATCTTCTTTCCCAGACTCTAGACTTTAGAGAAGGTCTAAGCCATGGAGCCTTCACTGAGAGCTTCAGGTCACTGTGCATTCCGTACAGGTTGCCTGGCAACTAATGAACGAGCTCTTCTGGGTCTGCAGCCCTGGCTGCCTGTCTCTGAAGATGCTATCAGCGACTCTCTTGCTGAACTGACCTTCTGGTGTAATACTTTCTATCCTCTAGCTGCCTGTCTCTGAAGATGCTATCAGCGACTCTTCTGCTGAACTCACTTCTTCTGCGGTAATACTCTCTGTCCTTATAGGGACAGAACCACAGCAGCAATGAACACTAGCCTTTTCGCTCTGTTTACTTGTGCTACTTGAAGGGCTGTTTGTAAAGGGGATTCCTTGTAAACAGTGCATAGTTAAGTCCTGCTGTTTTTATGCAATAGAGCGGTGCTTGCCTTTATTTCTTGTTCACTGCATTCCTTCTTGCTAGGGTTTCAGCAGAAGTTTATGCCTTGGGAACTCAATCCCTACATTCATGTTGCTATTTGAAAAGAGGCTTTTAGGAGGTTCTTAGGATGAGGTCACGAGGGTGGGGCCCCGTCCTTGTTTACTTTCTATTCCCCTGATGAAGAAAATGACTGTGACCAAAAGCAACCTGGTGAGGAAAGTATTCATTTGGCTTAGATATCCTGGGTCACTCTCTGTTGAGGGATGCCAAGGCAGGAAAACTCCAGGCAGGAACTGAAGCAGACAACAGGGAGGAGTGCTGCTTACCAGTTTGCTCCTCATGGCTTGCTCAAAAAATGTTTTCGTATACAATCCTTGAACACCTGTCCCAGGGGGCACAGCCCACAGTGAACTAGACCCTCCCACATCAATTATTCATCAAGAAAATGCCCCCAGAGACTTGCCCACAGGGCAATCACATGGAGATACTTTCTCCAGTCAGCTTCCCTCTTCCCAAATGACTCCAGCTTGTGTCAAGTTGACCACAACTAACCAGCACAAGCTCCCCTAACAGCGTCAGTGGCTTTATAAAGGGAAGAGAGATCTGGGCTGGCACAGTGGCCTGTCTGGCTGTGCGACGTTCTCTGTCTCATCGTGACGCAGCAGGAAGGCTGGCACTCCACTCTTGGACTTCCCGGCCTCCAGAACCTCTGTTCTCTGGAAACCATCTTGTCTGTGGTTCTAGCAATAGGAATAGGAAACAGGCCCAAACACTGGCTCTTGTCTCAGCTCCTAGTGATGGTTTATCTAGCGCAGCATTTAAAAAATATATATATGCTTTACATGATGCCAAGGAGTTTGGAAATCTGCAGAGCCTGGCTTGGTGTGTGTGCTGGGAGAAGACAGAAACAGGAACTATGTCTGTAGCTTAGCTAGAACGGAGGACATGCCATTCAGTGAGTGCCTCTGGATAACACTCTATCTAACAAAAGCAATGGCCAGAACTGGTGCCAGATTGGCTAATAGTTAGCAAGACTTATTTTTCTTCATCTCTTGATAAATACGAATGAGTCTCTTCCTGAAATTATGCAAAGAATAAAACAATTCCAGAGTATTTAACCTGGTAGGAACTTGAAACAATCAGTTCCATCTTTTTTGTTGTTGTTGTTTTTATTTTTGTTTTTTGAGACAGGATCTCTCTGTGTAGCTTTGGAACCTATCCTGGAACTCACTCTGTGGACCAGGCTGGCCTCCAACTCACACACCTCCACCTGCCTCTGCCTCAGGCATGCTGGGATTAAAGGCGTGTGCCACCACCGCCTGGCGGCAGTTCCGTCTTTCTTAATACAGTGGAGAAAAAGGAAGGCAGGGAAGCAGGACAGTGTGCTCCAGACTGCATCCCAGCTCACTGCACAGCTCGGACCAGGCCCCTTCGTAGTTCCCAAAGGACTGCAGACCTCACGGGCTTCATGCTCACTAATGTGCTGTGTTGTAGTTGAGTCGCCTGTATTAGCTTGATGTGGTGGGACATGCTTTTAATCCCAGCTCTTGGGAGGTAGAGACTGGTGGGTATTTGTTAGTTCATGCTGGTCTGTCTACAGCAAATTCAGGCCTACATCCTGAGCTCCAGGTTTTAACTCTCTAGTCTCTGTTTTGTGGACCTCCTCAGAATCACAAAACTAAGAAAATTAGGTGAGAACAAATGGAATTCACAGAGTAGTACAAACGGCCCACACAGCTGGCACTCATAGGTGAGAGAACATGATGGAAGATGATGAGGTTCTGCCCCAGGGGCCTAACGGTTCAGGCACTAGTTTCCTAAACCAGGGGTTGTGGGTTAAAGTCTCCCCTAGGCTACTGAGAGGCCCACTACCTTTGGTTCCCAGGAAATGTTTTGGAGGCTGAGGAGATTGCTCATTGGTTAAGAACACTGGCTTTTCTTCCAGATGGCCTGAGTTTGATTCCCAGCACCTGCAGGATAGCTCGCAACCATCTATAACTCTAGCTCCAGGAGATCTGATGCCCTCTTCTGGGCTCGAGGTACACAGGTGCTGCACAGATATACAGAAAGCAAAACACCAATACATGTGAAATAAAATAATAAAAAGTTTTTTTAAACGTTTCAAGTTATTATTAAGATGAAAAAATCTTTCCATTACATGTATCTATAAATTCATCATAGGCCATAAGAAAATAAATAAAAATCTATATCTTTAGGGAAGGAAGGAAGGACATCAGTCAGTCCCTGGGAAACAAAAGTCTGTATAATCTTAGCATGCAAGAGGTTAAGGTGGGAGGATTACAAATTCCACAGAAAAGTGAGATCTTGTTTTGTAAATCAAGCGCTGGAGAAAGTAGTCCCTGGTGAAGTGTCTTTGCCTAAGTCCCCTGGTTCCAACTCAACCCTGAAACAGAACAGGATAGGAACAAACTCAAACCTCCTGGGTGACTGACTACAGAACATTACGGGTTCACACCATACATCCTCAGAAGACAGTATGAATTGATGGTGTCGATCCCAGGAGGTAAGGACTATTGCAGAGTGTGGAAAGATATGAGTTAGGGCTGTAAAAGATCTGACATTTTACTCTACCTGCAAGCTACTGACCCTAGGGCCATAATCACTAGCAGAGACAACACTCTCAGTGTTTCTCACCGGGCCTGTTTCCTGTGTGACAGGCAGGCGCTACAGAAGAGAAACCTGAGAATTCCGTCGTTTCTACATCTCACAGCTATTCAAGATGTTTAGAAATGCCCTTAAAAAGGCTGTCAGAAAAAGTCGGTCGGTCTCGTTTCTCAAGTCTCTGTTTACACACAGGAGTCACCTTTCCAGGCGGTCCACCCCGCGAAGATATTCCATAGCGGAAGGCTACCAAATAATCACAACGAAGCAGGAACCGGCAGTCAGGGAACATTCAGCTGTCATTCTTGGCAAGAACCCAGCGTGGATTTAAAAAAAAAAAAAAAAGTCCCTGAGTAACCCAGACTGGCCTCGGGCTCCTGATCCTCATGCTTCAGGGTCTCAAGTGCTGAGATAGCAAGCATGTTCACCACGATTTTCTCATCCTGCTTTTAATGGAGCTTTGATGCCAGAAGCATGCTCCCATATTTATTCCTCTCACGCGCCCTTTTCACGGTGACCACAGTTTTACGAACCGAACTCATTTATCTAACCACAAGCCAAAAATCGCAACTTGTCAAGTCTCAGGGCTACCTCGAGACTGCGTTAAGTCGGACCAAAGTCAGTGAACGACCTATGTGATGGTTTTGAGAAACCATTCTCAGTGCTGCAAGACCCAGTCACTGCTTTGGAACCGGGTTTGAGGACCTAAGGAGGTAAAACACGAACGTTCACTTCCACCTATCTTGGGAGTCTGAGACTTTGGGAATTAAGTAAGGATGGCGGCCCTCGGCTGCACCTTCTTTCCATCTGACAACATAGGTCTCGCAGTCCGGTTGGGAACCAAGATCCTTACCCGTGTACCTACGTGGATTGCCCGGGAGGGAGCGGGGAGCGGGGAGCGGGGAGCGGGGAGCGGGGAGCGGGGACCAGACCTCTTCCGGGAGACCCCGCACAGACCGGAAGTGGGCGGGTCAGCTCCCTTAACGCGCATTCACCATAGGTTGGAGTCGCGGTCGCTCTCCGCTTGTCGAGGTGGGACTACGCCCACAAGCTGGTCCTGAAGTCGGCGCCGGTGGTGACCACGGCGGCTGCTGCTCCTGCGATGGAGCCGGGCCCCTCTGTGTCCCCGGGACCTTCGCTCTCCTTCAAAGAGGAGCTTCTGTGTGCTGTATGCTACGACCCGTTCCGCGACGCGGTGACACTGCGCTGCGGCCACAACTTTTGCCGCCGGTGTGTGAGCGGCTGCTGGGAGGTGCAGACGACGCCCTCGTGCCCGGTGTGCAAGGAACGTGCGGCTCCCGGGGAGCTGCGCACCAACCACACGCTCAACAACCTGGTGGAGACCCTGCTGCGGGAGGAGGCCGAGGGAGCGCGCTGGACAGGTCGCCGATCCCCGCGCCCCTGCCGCACGCACCGCGCTCCTCTTACTCTCTTCTGTCTGGAGGACAAGGAGCTGCTGTGCTATGCCTGCCAGGCTGAAGCCCGGCACCAGGAGCATCGCGTGCAGCCCATCAAGGACACTGCACAGGACTTCCGGGTGAGCAACGCGCCACCCACTCTTGGGGACCCCGGGACTGCCCCCTCTCCCTTCCCCAGGCCCAGCCACCTTCGTGTCCGCCGTCCAGGTCCCCGTGTGAACTATGCCGCAGTGGCACCGCCCTCAAACTTTCGGGCTTGTCACGTTTAGTTTAGAAGGAGGTCAGGCCCTAGCTCGGATTCTGAGGCCTTGAGATTTCCCATTCCAGCGCCCCCGCCTCTTCCTCCCCCCCCCCCCCCCCCCCGAGTTTCAGAGCCGTAGGACAGGCCTGTGGCGCTGACCTGCTGCTTTTCTCCGATTACTCTTTTAGCATCAAATTTCAGGAGTTCCAGTGGCTATAATTAACCCAAGAGCAGCGGACACAGCAAAACTAGCGTGGGGAAGGGTGGGTGTCGGTGCTGTAGGGTTCGAGCACCTCCGGGCAAGTACTCTACCACGCAGCTGCATCCTCAGCCTAGTTCTGATTTTGAGCCGAGCTCTTAAATTAGCCAGGCTGGCCTTGAACTTGCTCTCCGCTAGCCTCAGCCTAAGTGGCTGAGATTACAGGCCTGTGACTCAAGGCCCAGTGAGAAATCTTTGTTCTAAAACAGAAAAAAAAAGTTGTTGTTGTTGTTTTTAAGTAAACAAGGTCAGACATTTTCAAAAACCTTTGGCCTAATCGCTTAGAAATGCTCCATTGCTTTCCAAACACTCATACTGGCTTATCAACTGACTTTTTAAAAGGGCCTTTTATCCCAGCACTCGGGAGGCAGAGGCAGGCGGATCTCTGTGAGTTCGAGACCAACCTAGTCTACAAGAGCTAGTACAGGCTCCAAAGCTACAGAGAAACCCTATCTCAGGGGGGAAAAAAGGTGTGTGTGTGGGGGGGGAGAAGTTCTGAAATGTGCATTTTACTCTGGCAGTGTCTTGTAACTTTTATGTTTTTTAAAGCTACTGATGGACTCAAACAGCTAAATTTATTTCATCAGCTACTAATATATGGGTCAGACCCACAGTTGGGAGGGCTGAGGCTAGCTGCTAGGAAGCCCAGCGTAGAGAAGAGGAAGCACCGCAAGAGCCCACAGCGTCTGATCTTCAGACACCCTTCCCACACTGTGAGAATCAGCATGGCTGCAGTTCCGTACAGTGTGGAGGGGGGGCAGGTGGATTGGATACCATCATGCATGTTGCTTCAGTCTTCGCATTTGCTCAGCGGTCGTTCATTCTTGCTCCCACTTCCACCCGCAGAAATGCTAGAACCCTATTTAGCTTAGCCGAAGTGGGCAGTCCGTAGGTTTGGGTCCTGATTTGAATTCCCCAAGGCTGGCAGATGTAAAGATTAGCATGGGTGGTGTCTCCAGAATGGGGGCGGGGACCAAGCCTCATTCTGAAGACCAGTGAACCAGGGGTCAGGGAACATAGGTGTTGCCCACGACACCCGTCTGCACTGTATGCGCCACCATACAGTTCGTGATCCCGGCAAGGGGCTGGAGATTGAAACACACAAAGACACACAGACAGAGACAGAGACACAGATCATCCTTGATACCAAAATGCCCCAAGAATGTCCCCTTTATTGTGTCCAGGGGCAGCTTATATAGGGATAGCCACATCCCAGCCAAACACACCAGAAACCATTCCCCTGCCATCACGAACTCCTGGGGGTGGGGGGTGGGGTCTCATGCTCAGAGCAGCTGTAGGCACTCAGATCAGGGGAAAACAAGTTGTTTACAAGAAATTCAGGATCTGGGGGTTCACTGTTCCCAACACATAGGCTTGGAAACAGCCTTTTGTTCTTGTTCTGGGAGGTCTCCGAAACACTGAGGAGATCAAAGTTCATAATTCCTACTCTCATAGAGGTAATCACAAATATCTGGAGGATGTAGAGGCCATAATCAGGTGAGGGAGGCCCTGGGAGCTATTTGTAAGCAGATGCTACAGCATGTAGAAGGTTCTAGAAGAGAGAAAGCATTGGACACCAGGTGAATCCAGGAGACCCAAGTGTTACCCTTCATTTTAGAATGGTGGTGTGGTGCCCTCCAGTGGGTGCTCAGCGTGAGTCTAAGAGCTGGGAGTGGGCTAGCCTGAAAGATCCAGGAGAGTGCACGCTGCCGTGCTCAGATGCTCTGTGGCCCATTCGTGTATTTGTTTGTGAAAAAAACACACTGAGGACCCATTGTCTGCTGCACTCTGGTGGCTTAGGTCCCTAAGACAGCCTCTCTGCCCTAGTTCATTGCGACTTGACACAGCCTAGGGCCATCTGAGGGAATTTCAATTGAGGGATTGCCCTGAAGGGATCAGCCAATCCAAGAGATTGTCTAGTTGGTGATTGGTGTGGTACACTGTGATCCTGGGTGGTATAAGAAAGCTAACTGAACAACACGAGCCTGGGAATGACTCAGAGAGCAGCGTACCTCCCTGATTTCCGCAATTTCTGTATTGGTTCATGCTTGATTTCCTGCCCTGACATCTTCTGGTGATGAAGTGTAACATGGAAGTATAAACCAGAATAAACTTTTTTTGGTCGTCATGGCAACAGAAAGCAAACTAGAACACTCTGTTTCTGGAAGTTGACATTTCAGAGGAGCGGGCGAGGCAGTTGGTAGATGAGCATGGTTCTGTGTGGTTGGATATGGGTGTGGGTTGAGGGAGCAAGCAGCATAGGAAGACCCACCCCCAAGGTAAGAGTGGGGGCTGATAGAGTAAGCACAGCCCTCCTGGGGTACCCTCTGGCATCCCCAGAGGAGCACTAGTGCTGATATCCAGCGGCACTAATCTTTGAGGACTGACTTACTCTGTGCTAGATCCCCTTAAGTATTGACAAAATTTGATGTCCACAGAAACCCTGACGCTGTGTGATGGTTAATCTTGACAGTGACAGTAAAGCCCAACTCCTTGAGGGTCTGAAGGTGTTCTGAGAGTGAGACCCTGACCCTGTCAATGAGTGCCCTCACGGGTTCACCTTTTGATGGCCTCGCTGGTAGGTGGTAAGTTAGGAGGTGGGGCCTAGGTGGAGGAAGGCAATTTGTCAGGGGGTGTCCTTGGGGCCTAGGTGGAGAAAGGCAGTCTGTCAGGGGGTGTCCTTGGGACTATATCTTGTATCCCTTTCTCTGCTTCTTGGCCACCCAACCGTGTGATGGATTGAACCAACACTTCTGAAACTGAGCAAAAGGGAGAATTCTTCTCTTTGGTTGTTCTGTTAAGTTTGTGTCCCACAGCTCTGTAGAAGTAATGAAGGCCATGTGTGTTGGTGTTTTTATTATTGCTGCCAAGCAGATCCGTTCTGAAGACACTGACGGGGTTGCTAATGAGCTGGGACTTTGCCCTAACACAGTGGGACCTAATGGAAGGGCTGACAAGATTTAGAACACGTCATAGCCGACCAACCAGAGCTTATGGTTGGACTCCACAGTGTGATTCCAGCTGTGCTAGTTCCCCGGCCTGACTTCTAGTGCTAACTTGTCTCTCTGTGTTCTCCACGTTAGGCCAAGTGTAAGAACATGGAGCACGTGCTTCGGGAGAAAGCCAAGGCCTTTTGGTCCCTGAGGCGTACCTATGAGGCCATCGCCAAACACAATGAGGTAAGTGCTGGAGCGGGTGGGAAGTTTGGGAGAATTGAGAGGTGCAGAAAGATGAGTCCCTGGCTTTGGCCATGCCCTTGGATGCCAGTGGGGCCCCTCTGACACTGATGAAGGGCATGGTCAGGCAAGCAGCCGCAGGAGTGCATCCAGAAGACACCTTCATCATCTGCACTGTGATCTGTGGTGTCACACATCACCAGCTCATGGACAAACCAGTGGTGACCTAGGGCTCCTTAGAGAGCATACGATACCTCCAAGTTCTCCTTCCAGAATGATCTGTGGCTGTCAAACTCCCCACCCCACAGCTGTAACTCACCTGGCCTTCCTACCTGCCTCAAGTCCCCTGCAGTCAGTGTCCAGGCACCTGAGCGAGCATTCTTTGGTAAACCTTATCAGCCATGGCATGCTTGTACTTACACCGTCCACTGATTCTAGTAGCTTCAAGACTTTCTTGCCTATATCTGCCCATCTGGTGGCCATCTCTGTTCCTTTACTGGTCCCAGTTTCATCAGGCCCGCGCACTAAAGTCTCAGTTTGCATATTCCTTCTGGAGGTGCTCCTTGAACACAGTTCCCAAGATGGCCATACCTCGTTACTCTACCGCATGTCTCCCTGGACACTCAACCTGCAATTTACTTTTCTATTTTACTTTTTATCTGCTTCTGTCAGAATGTAAAGAATGCAAGCACATTAATTATTTCTAGTATCAGAATGTTCTAGGCATAAGCTTTTGGCTGGTGTAAACGCCATAGCAAGGCACAGTGAGGCCTTGACCTTGGGTGCACACGTACTGGAGGGTCCAGAGAGTTAGGAAGGCTACATCAGGTGACAGGCTAGAGCTAGATAGACCGTTAGAAACATTTCGCGAGCTGGCAGGACAAGGACTGCAGAAGCAAGCTGTGGTAGTAGAACCAGCCCAACCCTGAGTGTCCAGGAAGTCCCTTCACCCTACCAAGTAGGAGAAGTCAGCCTCGGGCAGTTTCTCTTTAAGCCATCAGAACTACTCATGGAAGCAGCAATGGAGAAAAGCCTTTCGTGATGGCTCAAGCTGACTTGAGTCTTTGGAAATCAACTTGTCATCTGTGTATCAGTCAGGGTTCTCTAGAGAAATGGAACGTGCCCCCCATTTCTGGATTCCAGATAATTACAGCTGCGGTCAAGTTGACAACCAAGTGCAGCCATTACAGGATGTCAGGCCCTGAGCGTCCTGAACCAAGCACAGCCGTCACAGATGTCAGGGCCCTGGGTGACCTGAACTGGAAGTCCAGTCCAAAAGTGGAACCTGTTGCGGCTGCTGGAAGACTTTTCCAGGTGTTTAGGTATTGGTCTTTTTGAGGCAGGGTCATGCTGTTAGTCTGGCTGGCCTTGAACTCACAGAGATCAGCCTGCCTCCGCCTCCCGAGTGCTGGCATTAAAGCTCCTTTCCGGTTATTTATTCTTCCTAGGAAGTGAGGGTGGATTGCATTGATCATATCTTCAGTGAACTGGATTTCTGTTATTTTCATTTTTCAGCAAGTCATTTCGTCATTATCGTCTCAGAGCCGTAGTGTGAGTCCCTGCATTAGAGGACAGCCTGCTGTAGCTAGAGCATGTGGTCTGAATTATTTTTCTGATAATCACCCTGGCATTACATATATGAATTTCATCTAGTTACTGATTTTACTGCATGTTCTAGCTCGGGGTTTTGTTGCCCTGACAAGCTCCATGACCACAAACAGCTTATGGCAGGAAAGAGTTTGTTTCGGTCTGTAGGTCCCAGTCTATCATTAAAGGACATCGGAGCAAGGACCTGGGCAAGCCTATCCTGTAGAATACTACCTCTGACCAAAGAACTTGCGCCACCTCCAAGAAGTACAGCAGGAACCATGAGGATGCTGTTTGCTTGCTGGCAAACAGACCAGCTTTGAGCTAGCTTTCTTCCAGACTTCGGGACTACCTGCTGAGGGAGCGTACTTTTCATAATAACCTACATTATTAACAACCCAGAGTCCCCCACAGATGTGCCCACAAAGCCATCTGATCTAGGCAGTTCCTCAGATGAGATTTTTAGTCCCAGCACTGAGGAGGCAGAGGCAGGTGGATGTCGATAAGTTCAAGGATAGTCTCCTGGTCTGTGCAGTGAAAGTTGTGTTTGCACACTTCGTCCTATTCTTTCTGTGAGCCTTCGGGGTTTCATGTGCTCAGTGGTGATTTTCTTCGTGCACAGACAGGTATTTCTTTGCCTTTCCTCTGAGGCTCTGCATAGTTTGTCCTCACTGCTTTTGTGGTTGTGGCATGGAATGTGGGTGTCATTAAAATAAATACTTGCAGCTGTGTGGTGGTGGCAAACACCTTTAATCCCAGCACTTGGGAGGCAGAGGCAGGCAGATCTCTATGAGTTCGAGGCCAGCCTGGTCTGCCTACAGAGTGAGTTGTCAGCCAAGACTGCTACACAGAGAAATCCTGTCTTGAAAAACAAATATATATAACAACAACAACAATAATAATAAAATACTTGCCACAACTATACCAAACCATCTGGACCAATAGAGGTACCCTGATCTTTATCTTTAGAGGTTCCTCATGTCACATCTAGAGCCTTTGAGTTGCTTTGCTGAAAGTAGTCACCAGCTAGGGGCAGCCCAAACCTGACTCCTGACCTTGTGGGCTTCTTCCTGCTCTGTTGCAGGTGCAGACAACTTGGCTGGAAAGCCGCATCCGGGATGAGTTTGACAAGCTCCGGGATTTCCTGAGGGTGGAGGAACAGGCCACTTTGGATGCCATGAAAGAAGAGAGCAGAAAAAAGCACTTGCTGGCTGAGGAGAAGATGAAACAGCTGGCAGAACAGACCGAGGCACTGGCTCGTGAGATTGAGCGGCTGCAGATGGAGATGAAAGAGGATGACATGACCTTCCTCATGGTGAGATGCTCAGGATCGGATCCGACTGTGGGAGCAGGGTCGGGGCCAGCAGCTAAAGATCCCCAGTCCATTCAGCAGGCTTCCTGTGGTGCTGTGAGGACCTCATTGGCGTGGCTTGTGCCAGAGCAGTGGCTTGGCAGCTTTGAATTATCCTCCTACCCCTGCCATCATTTCCTACTAACTTTTCTCTTTCCCGATCCCAGATGAAATAGTCTTTTTAAATTGTGCAATAATTTAAAATTTTTAAAAAATATATAATTACATTTTTATTTGTTGTAGGTAGGTGTCTTAGGGTTTCTATAGCTGTGAAGAGACACCATGACCATGGCAACTCTTATAAAGGAGAACATTTAATTGGGGCTGGCTTACAGTTCAGAGGTCTAGTCCATTGTCATCGTGGCAGGAAGCATGGCAGAGGACATGGTGCTGGAGAAGTAGCTGAGAATTCTACATCTGGATCACCAAGCAGCGGAAAGAGAGGAAGTGAGCCCCTGGGTCTGGCTTGAGCTACTGAAACCTCAAAGCCCAGTAAGGCCACACCCCTGATAGTGCCACTCCCAATGAGTCTATGGGGAACATTTTCATTCAAACCACCGCAGTGGGTATGCATTGCAAAGGGCCTGTGTGGAAGTCAGAGCAGCTTATGGTAGTCAGCCTTTTACTGTGGGTCCCAGACAGCAACTATAACCTGCTGAGCCGTTTAGTTGGCCCCAATTTTTTATCTTAGTATTCTCTCTCTCATCTCCCCTTTCTCTCTCTCCTTCTTCCCCTACCTCCTTCCCTCCCTTTGAATTGGTGGCTGGAAAGCCTAGGCTCTGTGCAGGACAGGTGCTCTTAACTGAGGCACATGTGTGTGAGTACCTGAGCCTGCACACAGACACAGAAAAGGAATTCTGTTCTTCCTTTTCGCTGGGTGTGGTGGTGCACACCTTAAATCCCAGCACTCAGAAGGCAGAGGCAGGCAAATCTCTGTGAATTCAAGACCAACCTGATCTACAGAGTGAGTTCCAGAACGGGCTCTAAAGATACACAGAGAAACCCCGTCTCAATTTTGTTTTTCATTTTCTTTCATCCTTTTATTGATTTTTGTCCTTCCGTGCAGAGAAGTTTCTGTGGCTTGAAAGCTACTTTAAAATAAATCAGATCCAGTGGGAAGGTGGTCTCTGTGCTTTAGGCACAGTGAGGTCTCTGGAGAGTCTTGCAGTGGTGTGAGAAGGGACAAGAGCATTTCCATGTTCAGACAGTGGCCTCACGTTGAAGTCTTGAACAGGTTGTCCTGTACCCAGATTGCTCCTGGGAAAGAAAACACCACTCGATGGTTTCCAAAAGCTGTGCTCCTTGCTTATCCTTTTCCTTCTGATGAACAAATTTCCCTTGTATGTTGTGTTTTACACTATTCGTAATGTAATGTAATTCATAAAATAATTTTGTTATTCATCCACTGATCCTTATGTAAGTTATTTCTTTTGCTTTTATGGGGAGTGGGACTCCAAACATGTATGTGCTGTTTTAGTGTGGACATGTATTTACTTCTGGTTCTGTACCCGAGAGCAGATTTCTGGGTTATCTGATGATTCTGCTTTGCCCATGAAAGGGCTGCTAGGCAGTTTTCTAAAGCAGCCGTGCTGTTTTCTTCTCCTATCAGCCGAGTACGAGAGTCAAGATTCTATACCTCTCAGCCACTTTTCCCATTCCATAGCCTTCTTATGAGTGGGGCGCTGTCTCACTGTGCTTCTCTTCATTCATGTCAGGTGCCTCTGGATCATTGGCAGCTCTTCTGTAAGATATCTATTTAATTTCTCTATACAGTTTTTTTTTCTTTTTTCTTTTTTTTTTTTGTGGGAGTGGGTAGGGAGAGGTGCAGAGTTTCTCTATGTAGCCCTGACTGTTCTGAAACTCACCCTGTAAACCAGGCTGGCCTCAGACTTAAGAGATCCACCCGCTTCTTCCTCCTGAGTGGTTGGACTACAGGTGTGTGTCACCATGCCCTGCTGTGCAGTTCCTGTCAGGTTGTCTTTTCACTGTTTAGCTGTGAGCAGTCCTTTTATGGTCTAAGTCATTTCTCAGTCTTAGCTCTGTATTTAAATCTTAGACTTATTTTAATTGTTTTTTTTTTTTTTAATCTGCTACACGGCAGAGGCATGGCCTCTTCCTGTTGCTGTGACGCTTTTCGGTTGTACCCTGACCATTGGCTAAAAGACAGTCTGCCAGCTGACCTGGGTCCCCTGCAGAAGCTCTAAGCACGAAGCTTCCCTTATCTAGACTGTGGTCCTGTCCCCGTTGTTAGACTGTGGTCCTGTCCCCGTTGTTAGACTGTGGTCCTGTCCCCGTTGTTAGACTGTGGTCCTGTCCCCGTTGTTAGACTGTAGTCCTGTCTTTGTTAGTTAGTCTCACCACTCCCATCACAGTGGCTCCTGTAACAGTTGGAAATTGGGGAGCAGGAGTCCTCCACCTTGGTTGTTTCTCAAGGTTGCTATTCTACATTTCCTAAAACTCTTCGTGAATTTTAGGATCAGTTCTAAGTGTGGCCCTGGTTTCCCTCTGCTGTGTCCTCACCATGGCACCTGGGACTTGGAAGGGGCGACATTGAATCAGAGAGGAGATCTACATCGGGTGTGTGACATCTGAGTGACACCAGGTCTGCTCGCCCATGAGTGGGGCGCCTGGCCACTCTTCTTCAGAAATTCCCTGCACTTTCTTACTCTGTCTCTGTCTTTTTTCCCCCCAGAAACACAAGAGCCGAAAGCGCCGGTAAGTTATTAAGCTGATGGAGGGGAGGGGGCGGGCAGACAGAAAGCCAGGGCTACTCTCTCCAGTGGCTGACAGGCCAGGCAGCTGTCATGCCCAGCTGGGTGGGATCCAGAGGGAGAGGTAGAGGCTGGCCAAGGGGAACTTTTTAAAGGCATTCCAATGCCGGTTGCCATGAAGGCAGAGTTGTTTGGGAACATAGAGGTTCACTAGTCTCCAGGGATTTACAGAACCAGGCACATGACTTGTGTTTCTCAGTTATCAGCAGGCCTGGTTTTTGGCTGGCCTCCTTCCTCCGACAGCCTTGGCATTGCGTTGTGGGCGGATGCTCTGTTGTGGGCGGATGCTCGCTGGGCTCTCCAGGATGGATAAGGAAGAGATATGTCCTGTCTGAAGATGGGAGTGAGTGCTCTAGGCTGTAATGAGTTCCCAGTCTCTGCAGGCATTCAGCAGAGGCCGGTCAGCACTGTGGCTCTTTTTAGATTCCAGCTTGGCCCTCTCATGAGCTGGTGACTCAAGTGTGATTTCTACCTATGAGGATGGCAGCTAGGTTGGAAACCTTCCCACTATGTCTCCCAGTTGTTCAGGATTGAGCCTTCCTGCTGAATCCTAAAGGATTGTGGCAGCCCAGTGGACTTCTTGCTCAATCCAGGTTTGTCTTGGGACAGATGGCCACGAAGCTTAGGTATGAGGCAAGGGAAGCAGTTCTGTTGTTTGTAGTAGATTCAGTCAGGCATGCCTGCTCGGCCCCAACCAATGCCCAGCCTTCCTTTTCCAGACTCTTTTGCACCGTGGAGCCAGCTCCTCTCCAGCCTGGCTTGCTGATGGATGCATGCAAGTATCTGGAGTCCCTGCAGTACCGTGTCTGGAAGAAGATGCTTGGGTCTGTTGAATCTGGTAAGGATGCAACGAGGTGCTCCAGGCCAATGGAGACCATCTTGTGCTTCAGGGACAGCAAGCTTCTCAGCTTTTCCCCCTGCATACCCTTCCAGGCATGCACAAGGCCCCTGGTCCTCCCTGCTCTGCTGCACTTCAGAGAGGCTAACACTCCTTTCTATATTCATAACTCTAACATTCAAGATGGAAGACCCAATTCTAGGTCACCTCCCCCAAGGTCACTCAGACTCTCTCCTGCCAGTGTGCCCTGGTTTCATGCCTAGAAATGGCAGTGGGCCAGGGGAATGTTACTTGAATCTCTTAGGTGTCCGGGAGCATGTGAACCTTCGTACTTCCTAGTCATGTGCTGGGTTAGTCTTCCATGGCTGCTATGACGGAGGACCACAAATTGGCTTAAATGACCAGTCTATTCCCACAGCTTGGGAGGCTAAAAGCTTATTGCTAAGAAATGGGCAAAAACATGGCCCTCAGATCTGTGGGAAGGCCCTTAGATTCTGGTGTTTGCTGGCATTGCTTGGGTGTCATTGGCTTGTGACTGACAAATGTGTTTCTGCTTTGGTTGGTCATATGACATTTCTTTCACCGTGTCTATATCTCTGACCCATTCCCAAATAAGATTACATCCTGAGATACTGGGGCTTGGGACTTAACATTTATCTTTTGGGGTGGGAGTAAAGTTTGACTTTGGCCACCCCAGCAGCCCAGGACAGTTCCATGCATGCATTGGGGGCAGAAGAAGGGTGTCCAGTCTGCTGACTTTCCCTTTCCCTCTCTCTCTCTCCAGTGCCCTTCAGCTTGGATCCCAATACAGCTGCCGGCTGGCTCAAAGTGGCTGATGACCTCACAAGTGTCATCAACCATGGCTACCGCGTGCAGGTGGAGAATCCTGAGCGCTTCTCTTCGGCGCCCTGCTTGCTGGGCTCTCAAGTGTTCTCGAAGGGCTCCCACTCTTGGGAGGTGGATGTGGGTGGCCTGCCGAGCTGGCGGGTGGGCGTGGTGAGGGTGCAGATGCACGTGCAGGCGCAGGCACAGGCTGATGTGAGTGGCGAAGGCCACACACACAGCTGCTACCACGACACCCGTTCCGGCTTCTGGTACCTCTGCCGCACGCAGGGTGTGGACGGAGACCACTGCATGACTTCAGACACAGCCACAGCCCCTCTTGTCCAGGCCATGCCACGCCGGCTGCGTGTGGAGCTGGAGTGTGAGGAGGGTGAGCTGTCCTTCTATGACTCTGAGCGCCACTGCCACCTGTACACCTTCCATGCCCACTTTGGGGAAGTGAGGCCCTACTTCTACCTGGGGTCCTCTCGGAGTGATGGTCCCCCAGAGCCTCTGCGCATCTGCCATCTGCGTGTCTCCATCAAGGAAGAGCTGGACATCTGAGCTGCCGTGGTCTGCTGGACACTGGACTGGGGACCTCTTTTGTCCCAGTATCTTCTGGTAGCCCGCTATTGCCACTCGTGCAGCATCCTGTATTCTGTTTGTCCTTTCTGTAACTCCATGTCCTTCTATGCCTCTGTCTTTGTTTTCAGTCCCTGTCCTGCTCCAAAGTTAAGAGTCATCCAGGAGAGCTTGGTGAGCCTAGGCACCACTTAGAGTCGTGGCACCTTTGGGATGTAGGTTTTCTGACTCCTTTGCTGGTGAAATGTTTTCTTGTAGAATGGGCATTTTAAATATAGGTGGCTGTTTTTAGAGACGATTAGGCTGCCAGTCAGAGATGCCTCTTGTTGAGTCAGTTGTCACATTTCCCAGGAGGAAAGCCTCGTCAGGCCACATACACACACGCACTCCCTAGGATTGGTAGAGAGGAGTGGGCAAAGCCTTCACCCAGGCTGTCCTACCCCAGTAGGACAAGCTAGGCATTGGCCAGCCTAACCGGACAGCGTGGCTTTTGGCAGTTGGTCTGAGGCCCAGGAGTCCCCGTTTGCCCAACACTGACTGGGATGGTTAGGACAGGAAAGTCCTGGCCTGCTCTGTGGGAACTGTAGGGTGTGGGGTACTCTGGAGTGCAGCTCAGTTAACGGAGGTCACAGCAAAGGCAACTGTAAGGCTGTTGGCAGTGGCTAAGGATTGGCCAGTTTCTAGTCAGTGGCCTAGAGGCCAAAGCACCAGAATGCAGTGAGAAGGCAGTCGATACTGGCTGGGTCAGGAGCCCGAGCTCTGCTCCTCAGTCTCAGGCGGAGCTTCTGGTTGGCATGGAATTGACCCTGATTCATGCTTTGAAAGTTTGTGGGATCCGGAGAGTCCTGGCCCTATCTGCCCTTCTCATTGGCTTCAGTCCACTTGTTCTTGCTCTGCTCTCTGCCAGGTTTCACCCCAACTTCTCCTTTGTGTGTACCTCTACATTTTCTTTCTCAGTTTTGACTATAGATGGAGTCTGATTGCCAGCCGCCAAGTCCCAAGTGGTGTTGTAAAGAGACATGTCTTCCCGGGTGTACTGTCACAGTCAGGGACACGTTACTGACCTAGGACCTGGCATCCCAGTTTCAGCCTGCACCCCACATTACATAAGCCTGATGCTTTAAACCATGCCGCTCACCCACTAATTGGCTATAAATAGGTCATATACGTTGCTTATCTAACAAGTGGGGCCTCAGAAGAGACACACTGTAGTGCAGGCTAGGCTGGATGCAGGAACAGCATTAGCAAACCATTACCTTGTGGCAGATGCTTAGGCTCTTTGGGATCCAAGTAGGTGTGAAAGGGTACGCCCTTGGTGCGGGGCAACTAGTTTATGTGTGAGAAGCTTTTTCTGAAATCACTGTTACGATGAGCTTTTTATTTTCACTTTAATTTTTTTTAAATAGGGAAATTTCAGTGATCTAGGCTCCTTTAGAAATATTTAACACACTACCCATAACAGACTATGTTTTCTTTCAGTGCTTTTGTAAACACAAATTTCTATTGAACCTAACTTGTACCTGACTTGATGCTTTTCATTGTAAGATTTTATGGTGTGCAGTGAGTGTCCCATTTAGTTAGTTAGTTACTGCTTTTTTAGTTATGAGTATAGCTGCTATGAAATTTGTGTGCAACTTTTGTGTGGATGTGTCTTTTTTTTTTTTTAAATCCTCTGTCATATACCTCAGAGTCTGTTTTCCAGGTCATATGATAATTGTATTAAACCCTTTGAGGACTCGCCAAACTGTTTTCTAATAGAGCCATACCGTTTTCTGCTCCCAGTGGCAGCAGGTGAGGGCTGGGTTGTTACACATTCTTGCCAGCACTGTCTGCCCTCTAACTTAGCTGTCCTAGTGAGGAAGAAGAGTGTCTCATTTGGCCTTCAGTTGCCATCGCTGCTAACTAAAATGGAGCATCTTTCTCGTGTTCGCTGTGTGTCTACCTAAGAGGCGTAAGCCTTTGCCCATTGGGTTGTCTGTCCTTCCTTTCATTATGAAGTTTTATGAGTTTGTTATGCATTCTAGATAAAAGTTTCTCTGTCAAATAAATTACTTATAAAATTTTCCTCCTATTCAGTGAGCTGTCTTTTTACTGTCTTTAAATGTTTTTGTTTTTTTTAAGGGGCTGGAAAGATGGCTCAGTGATTAAGAATTCTTGCTGCTCTTTTCAAAGGACCTGAATCCAATCCCCAGCAGCCAGCGGTAGTGGATCTGACATCTGGTACCCACATGCATGAAGAGCAGGGTGTGCTCTTAACTGCTGAGCCCTCTTTCCAGCCCCCTTGTACTGTCTTAGTGATGTTCCTTGGAATTCAGGTGTTTATAGTTGTGGTGATGTCCAGCACATTGGCTTTCTTTTCCTTTCTTGAATCTCCTTAAGAGCTTGGGCATTGGCCGGGTGGTGGTGGCGCACGCCTTTAATCCCAGCACTTGGGAGGCAGAGGTAGGCGGATCTCTGTGAGTTCGAGACCAGCCTAGTCTATAAGAGCTAGTTCCAGGACAGGCTCCAAAACCACAGAGAAACCCTGTCTCGAAAAACCAAAAAAAAAAAAAAAAAAAAAAAAAAAACTTGGGCATTTCCCTGAATCACGTACAACACAAGACCTGTGTTTTGGCTCAGAAATGGAGCAGTTGTGCTGTTGACAGGCCCTCGGCCAAGAGTCTCCCTTCTTTCCAGCTCTCTCCTATCTTCTTGTCCTCTTTTAAACCTTCACTACGGCTAAAGGTAGTGAGAAGTTTCTGCACCCCGATAAGCCTCTCTGCCCACGTGGCAGTATAATCAAACCAAAACAAACTGAGTTAGGAAAATCCCAGGTTTAAGGATAAAATGCTCCCGGATGATTTTCCAGCTCCCCAGAGAGGAGACAGGAAAGGAAGACCAGAAAACCACACGTCTGTTTTCTGGAAGGTGGTTTAAATACCCTGTGGGTGTGGTCTTGAGCGTCTCTGGGAGAGGGATCATCATTTGGCGGGCTTTCTGAGATGTGAGAGGGATTGGGTAGGGGTCTTGGGATGGACTTCCACCAGAACAGGTGGCACCTGTTCAGTCTCCCCTTTCAAACTCATCCTGTCTTGTTCCTAGAGGAGCCATCCACTTGGTCACCGTAAGGGGCTCCATACTCAAACCTGGGTGGATTTCTCCAGTGCTGTGTTCAGAGGGCATATTGCCTTTGTGACCAAGGTTCTCTGACTCCTACACACAAGATTCTAGCTGGGTGAAACTTGGTATCCTTCAGACATGCCACCTGGTACATACAGGGGCATTTTCATGACAAGGACCTTTAGAGACTGGGTCCTTGGGGCATTTCCCGCCTGCCCATGTTCTCTCCTCTATAGCAATGGAGAGTGTCCCAGCTCCTCAGTCCAGTGCCACCTGGAGGGTCTTTGGGGCAGAGTCCTGACAGTGGAGCTTCTGCACACCAGGGGACAGGAGAACCCCTACCTAGTCATGTTTGAGTGTTCAGAGGCTGTTTTCACCATGCTTCTTGCTTCTGGAGGATGGAATGTCAACAGAATACGGTCTTTGGTTCAATATCAGGACAATAGAACCCTCTGTAACTGGCTAGTGATGAGACAGGGCCCGGATTTGTTTATTTGAGATAGAGTGTCACACAGGTCTCATGTTTAGCCCTTGCCAGCCTGGAACATGCTGTGTGGACCAGGCTGACTTCACAGAGATGTATCTGCATCTGCCTCCCAAGTACTGGGATTTGTGTGCAATCACACCCAGCCCAAGATTTGTTTTTTTATATTTGTATTGTTTATGTTTGTACGTATGTGCCTACAGGGGCCAGATGAGGGTGTCAGATCTCCTGGAGCTGGAGTTGCAGGTATTTGTGGGCTGTCTGACATGGGTGCTGGATCTGAACTCCATTCTCATAGAGCAGTGAGTGCTCTTAGTCACAGAGTGATCTACAACCAGAGTTTTCTGAACACTTTAGGAACGTAACTACCTCTCCCAGAATGCTCCTGCTCCTTTGCCTCCATTGTCTCCATGACCTGGAGCTCCCCTGTCCACCACTGTGACTTGCCTATCTTGCTAGTTTCCATGATGAGTGTAGGAGCCACATGGCCACCTGTCCAACCCAAAATCCAGAGATGTCATTGGACCACTAGAAGGCTATTGTGTGATTATACAGTTGGGTACCACTTTTGGGTGGCCTGAGGAGACGAGCAATGAATTCATCCCAGATAGGGCACAGACCACAAGGACGATGACAGCTGCCGGGGTAATGACTTCATTGGGATTACTTCCAGATGCCTGAGTAGCTCCAAGGTACTTGTACCACCTTAGAGTCTGTCCCAGTGTGGGTAAACGGCCCCAAGCTGCATTGCTGGAACTTCCTGCACAGCTCATTGGCAGTTCCACCAAATAATGTCCTCCCCAGCAATTGCTTGACGCGTATACCACCTTGGCGAGAGGAACTTAGGATTCTTGGTTCTTGAACTTAACTGAGTGCTGAAAGGTTCTTTTAGTTTTAAAAATAATCTTTTAAAAATTAAATGTATTGATTTGGTTGGCTGAGTGCATGCCACAGCACCTATTTGGAAGCCAGGGGACAACTTGTGGGGGTCCTGTCACTATGTGGGTGGTGTAGGAGGTTCTTCTGTTCATATGTTGCTTTCGTTTGTTAATGAATAAAGAAACTGCTTTGGGCCTGATAGGGCAGAACTTAGGTAGGAGTGGGAGAAGCCCTGGATCTTCTGCTTGAGATGGATGCTAGTTAGAATCTTGCTGATAAGCCACAGTCACATGGTGATACACAGATTAATAGAAATGGGTTAAATTAACATGTAAGAATTAGCCAATAAGAAACTAGAGCTAATGGGCCAAGCAGAGTTTTAATGAATACAGTTTCTGTGTGCTTATTTCAGGTGTAAGCTAGCTGGGCAGTGGGGTCAAACAAGGGGCCACCTCTCCTTGTAACATGTGGGTCCTGAGAATCAAACTCAGGTTTGGCAGCAAGTGCCTTTACCCACTGAACTGTCACCACCCGCTCCTGTGAGAGCTTTCTGAGAGGCCCTGCACCTTCTAGAAGGAACTATTTCAACTTGTGGGAAATGGCCATTTCACAGCCGCATAAGGATATTTCTGTCAAAGATGGGTCGCGAGGGAAGGTCCTGTAAGATTATTAATGGACTAAAAATGTATGTCCAGACACATCTTGGGGTGTCATTCCTTAGGAGTATGGGGTATTTGTTTTGTTTTTTTTGAGACTTCTCTCACTGGCCTGGAACTCACCAAGTTGGTGGCTAGTGAGCCCCTTAGATCCACCTGTTTCTGCCTACCCAGTTCTGAAGTTCCAAACACATGCCACTGTGTGCAGCTTTTTATGTGGGTTTGAGGGATCAAGCCTGGGTCTCTGTGCTGAGACAGCAAGGACCTTACTGATGGAGCCCCTCCCCAGCCCAGGACGAAGAAGTTCTCACACTGTGGTGTCCTCCCTATGCCTTTTCCGTGCTTAGCCACATGACTGGCTACTGTCTTAACAGTTGCTCTCAGGATCAGCACAGTGACGGGAGTGTGAACAGAGCAGCGGTCTGCTGTAGCATCTGGGGGTGTAGCAGATGGCATCCGGTTTTGCGTATTGTCCACACAAACATCTCTGGAGGCTGCATCTCAGGTTGTGACCCCGTTACTAAGCAATGTGTGGCTTGTCTAGTTGTCATGCATTGTGGGTTGGAAATTTTGTCCCCAAAAGCTCCATGAAACAGGCATCAAGCCTGTTGTGTATACCTTTAAACGCAGCACTCAGGAGGCAGACAGCCAGGACTGCATAGTGAGTCCATCTTTTTTTTTTATTATTATTTTTATTAAATTTGTTTTTTCTAAAAGGAAAAAAAAAGAATCTTTTCTCATTTTACACACTTATCTTGGTTCCTACTCCCTCCCTGTCTCCTGCTTCCCCCACGTTTCTCACCGTCCCAGCTCCCCCCCCCCCCCCATTCACTACTCAGAAAGAGTAAGACTTCCCAAAGGGAGTCAACAAAGTCTGACTCATCACTTTGAGGCCCTCCGCTCCATATCTAGGCTGAGTAAGGTATTCCTCCAAAAAGAATAGGTTCTAAAATGCCAGTTCAAGCACCGGGGATAAATCCTGGTCCCATTGCCAGTGACCCCACAGACTGCCCCAGCCATATAACTGTCACTTATATTCAGTGGGCCTAATTTGGTCTTATCACCACCCCCACACCTCACCCCACCCCTGCTACCAGTCCAGAGTCAGTGAGCTCTCACTAGCTCAGGTCAGCTGTTTCTGTGAGTATCCCCATTATGATTATGACCCCTTTGCTCATATTATCGCTCTTCCTGCTCTTGGACTGGTCTCTGGAAGCTCAGCCCAGTGCTTAGCTGTGGATCTCTGCATCTGCTTCCATCAGAAGGTTCTATGATGACTCTTAAGGTAGTCATCAATCTGATTACAGGGGAAGGCCATTTCAGGCCCTCCCCGCTATTGCTTAGAGTCTTAGCTGGGGTCATTCTTATGGATTCCTGAGAATTTCCCTAGTGCCAGGTTTCTCGCTAGCTCCATAATGGCTACCTCAATCAAGATTCCTCATTCCTTGCTCTCCCTCTCTGTCCTTCACCCATCTCAACCATCTCATTCCCTTATGTTCTTCCTCCTCTTCTCCCCTCCCTTTCCCCTTCCACATTTACTCCCCCTCCCCCCAACTCCCAATTTTCTCAGGAAATCATATCTAATTCCCCTTCCCAGGGGGATCCATGTATGTCTCTCTTAGGGTTCTCCTTGTTACCTAGCAAGAGGCAGGCAGGTCTGAGAGTTCAAGGCCAGGCAGGACTGGACAGGAGTCCCTGTCTTAAAAAACAAAACAAAACAAAACACTGCTATCCTTCATTTGGGGAAGAGAACAGCACACAAAATCTGAAGTTCAGGAGCCTGGGTCCAGGTGCCAGCCTTGTGATGGACAAGCTATCAAGTCTTTGCAGCATTTCCCACGAAGACCTGCGGATAACAGTATCTGCTCTAGGCTGCTAGAGGATTCGCTGAGGTGGCTTACAGTAAAAATGCCGACTGCTCTATCTTAAGCCTTGTATAGGTTTCTTCTGTGT